GCAACAAATAAAATATCAAGCACAACAAAGGCAGTGTTTTCTTAACGTGGCATCGTGTTGTTCACGCGTCAACACATTTAAGGAAAATATCGCGACGGGTGAAGTGTCCTTAACCTTTTCTGAGAACGTCGTGCACATTGCAGCGAAAGCAATAGACCAGGGGAGGCCAAACTGAATCGCGCGAGCGGCAAGCGGCTCTTCGCGGGTCCAAGTGCGGTTCGCGTATCTCTGATTATCATACCCCCCTTCCTCTAGTGTGTTCCTATAAAAAAATGTTTCTAGTATAAAAAATAAATGCTAAAAGTCTTGGCAGCCTTGTCCTACTACGTATATGCAGCTGGACTACTTTTTGACACATATATATATGTGTCCAATGACTCCGTTTCATTTATTTTTCTAGAACAAATTTCGATCCGTATACGCATAACGGGCGTCAGGGGCAGTGCCTGGCTGGCGAACCATGCATTTATTTTTGCTTAGCGGTTGCAGAAACGTTTTGCTTCCTGGTGTTGTTTGTTGTAGTCGATCCTATACTTGCACCATTTGGAAAGAACTGTTCCCTCTATATCGTTTCTTGTTGAAAGTAGCAATCCACCCCTTTGTTTTTCGTGTGGCTTTTCGAGTTTTTGTAGTTTCGTCTGCGGCTCTAGCGCTATGTTATTCTGGCCACCACTGCTAGAGATGATTTTTTACCGTTAACAAACAGGAGCCATCTCTTGTCCTCGAAAACACTTCCGGCCGCCCCGTCTCGGCAGGCTTAGCCTGCTGATATCAAAATTTCTTGTACAATAAAGTATTACAGGATTAAGAATTTTAATATCTAGCGAGATGCTTGAAGGGATCGGTCGTCTTAAGTGAATTTAAAAAAAAACGAATTCTTCATCAAATGTTTCGTTAACCGGTGCTTTAGCTAATCACCCGGATAACTCGCCATAATATAGTTCACGAACACCGCATGAGGCGGTGCAACGGTGGGTGCTGTTTGTCCTCTCATTTGGCCGGAAGTTCAAGAGGAGGTAAACTGCCAACGGCGCCTCCCTCCGCCGTTTAGGGAGAACGGCACTGCCTTACCTAGAGGGACACACGCCAAGCGGCAGCGCCTACCAAAAGTCAGCCGCTCGGCATTGTAGCCTGTTCTGCAGCTCACGTTAAAGCAAAACGACCTATTAGCAGTTTATATAAAAATTTCCGGAACGTATCATCGCTCACAGGATGAGAACAGTAGAGAAGAGTTTCAGTAGTGCCCCTTCCAGGGCGCGAGCCTCATGCCTTTGGTGACACTTGGCCGTGTCGTGGGCTTCGAGCGTGCACGCACAGTCCAAGATCGGCAATAGACAAGTATCGAAGGAGGCATCCGAAAGCGGCCCCCTGCTGTCCTCATCCTCTCACGGACTACGGTGGCTGGTGCACCAAGCAGTTGGGCACGTCCGCTCGTTGGCTCGCCTGAAAGCGCCCTCACGGACCCTGGCGGGCCTAAGCACCAAGTCAGAAAAGCAGGTTCCGAAACACACGCGGAAAACGGCAATACCTATATTGAATTCTCGCATGTCACCCATTGCAAATCTTTAGTACTGCGATCGCAACCAGAGTCAGGTTGAACAGACGCATTTTTACTTTCAATCAATCAACGAGTCAATCTCTTCAAAACGGTATTACAAATATTAAGCTTTTTTTTTTCCTCGAAAGAATAGTATGTTGTGCGACTTACTGGGTGCCGCGCTAACCATTACTATTAAGGCACCCTGGGAGGTTCAGTTTTTTTAAACACCGGACAGCCGCACCCTGGGAGGTTCAGTTTTTTTTTTTAAACACCGGACAGCCGCACCCTGGGAGGTTCAGTTTCTTTCTAAACATCAGACAGCCGCACCCTGGGAGGTTCAGTTTTTTTTTTTTTTTTTTTAAACATCAGACAGCCGCATTCTGGGAGGTTAAGTTTTTATAGTATACATCAGACAGCCGAATTTGGTTGTCAAATTCTTTGGAACAAAACCGACTCTCGGTTCTACCCCGAGGGTAACCAAGAATAAGGCTACCAGATATTTGTCCAGTCAGGCACCGGAGCCGTACCACGCGGCATAGAAATCAGACGCTGCGATACGCGTAAAGTTAGGTCACGTGGGCATGCTTACGGCTCCAGATTGGTGAAGATCTATCGTATATCTTTTTTCCGGTCCTCCTCGGGTTTTAACGGACTACACCAGTAGTTTGGGAAGCTTTAGTGCGTCACCTGGCTCCATTCTGCGGGAATAATTTCCTGTCCCATCCTCGTTGGTAGAGACCGCCGCCGCATGCTGACGGCGATTCAGAACGTAAGCGACTTCACTGGCGGTGGCGATTCTAATTTCTCCCGTTGCGGCGATGGACAACGATACGAAGGCAGCATTACCGTGTCGTTAGCGAAGACAATTACCAGCCATCTTCATAAAAACAACGTCCCGCGAGGGTATCAGGCTAAGACGTTGATGGCAGTGTTTTTGGAAACTGCCCCGAAATGGGTTCCTAAACAAGTACTGTTGAGACGGGTTATAACGAAGTCGGTTATAACGAAATAGCGGCTACAGCGAAGCGATCACGAGTTCCCATTTCCTTTTGTACTTCGTTATGACCGAAGTCGGTTATAACGAAATAGCGGATATAGCGAAGTGCTTTCCGGTTCCCGTTGACTTCGTTATAACCGGTCTCGAGAGTATGCCGCTAGCGTGGTTCGTAATGTTTGGATCGTTTTCACTGACACCTTCGTAACTCTCGTCGTGCGTAAGTTGATATTTTCAGATGGGCCTCTAGAGAAAGTATGTGTAGACCTTTTCGCGAAAACAAAGCCTAATATAGCTCTGTGTTCTTCACGTTATCAACATAATTTACGCATCTCGGGCATTTGTTTTCACTCGAATAGAAGTAAAATATAATAATCATAATATGAAAATAATATTTTAATTTAACTTCTTTAGTTGTTTTTTTTGTTGAAGGGGAAGTCACGGCTGCCCTTTTCTGCTGGGGTTGCTGTTGTTTCGGGTGACAAAAAACCGTTTACTGATTTCTTTCGGGGAAACGTCAAAATTTATGACGCCTTATTCTTCTTAGAACGCTTTTGCGGCGCTAAATAAGAATAAAACTTACCAAAGATATATCCGCAAAAAAACACACAAACAAATCATTTTAGCATTTTTTTAGCGCGAGTCCCGGGACGAGGATTTACGGAGACGTAGGTGTCAGAATGTAACAGTGGCAGTATTTTGGTTATTTTCCTAAACTTCTCACGCTCTCAGTACAGTGCCTCTTTTCTGTTTTGCACTTGTTGAGGAAGCTAGTAGGCGGTTAAAGTTCCGTGCTATATTTCGTTTCATCTTAAGTTGAGACGCAGCCGACGCTTCGGGGTAATGAACCAGTAAAGCAGTGCCACAAGCGGAAGTCACAAGGTCTGTTGTTTTGTTTATGATTGGTTCAGCGATAATCAAGCACGTACAGAAACATAGCGAAGAGGACCACGATGGTGTGCTTATGACTCTGCCTGGTTGGTACCATTAGCTCGGAGCGTCGGATGTGTCTGGACTTAAAAAGTGAAGCCAATTATAGAGAAAAGTTGCTGCGTACGGAGGGATAATTATTCCAAAACGACACCTTCGTTTAAGGTAAAAGGAATAAAGAGGCGGGCATTATTTAGGCGGAAATAATGCTCCTAAGGTACATTTGCAGACGGCGAATGAGGTTGCGCTTGTGGGTCACGAGCACATGCCACGCGCGGATGATTGCAAACTGATTCGCCAGCGACAATACAAGTCCCTTGGGTAAAGGTACCTTTAAGATTGTGTGAATAGGGCATACCGCTATGTGATGTGAAATGCTACATCGAGGAACCTTAGCGCTTCGTATTTTTGCATTGAACGTAGTGATAAGCAGCGCACCGTACGACAAGCGCTGCTTTCTTCTAATATTTTGTTGTATTTTACTTTCTTTGTATCCCGCGTACTTTTCATCACCATGTTCAATGCATACCAACTCACCACCTTGCCGTATTTTTGCGGAAGGACGCTGGTATTGGGAGATCACAGAGGGTGCTTCGAAGCGTGCACCCTGAGCAGTCAGTATTGAGCGTTAGATAACGATTTCTTGAAACTATCGTTCGAAACATACGTTAACAACGGACCCGGAAAGGGGCCTGTAAGATAGTCGCGTTCAAACTTCTCTGAGTTGTATAGACGAAGGAGGACGGACAGCGAGTTGAGCCAAGAGACGTCACCTAGCGGCAAAGGCGTGAAGCTCGTTTGAAGGATTGAATCACGTCACTCGAGTAGCCTACATCAGACCACAATAGAGTTATTTGATGGTGCAAAAAAAAAAAAAAAGGATTACTCTGCGCTTCTCAGAGATCGAGAAACGCTACAAAAATGTCGACTTACGTTGCCCCCAAAAAAGGGACTCAATTAGTCACTAGGGAGCAAAAATGCAAGGGCGCATGCGCGGGACTCTTCTAGCAAAAGGTCCATTTACGAACACCACTTGTGAGCCCCTATTGTGATGAACGAGCGTTGTTACACCGTACGGACGTGTTCGGCGCTATCTCCCATGCACGCAAACTAGAAAAAGTACGCAAGAACGAAGAAACAACAACAACAGCGTATCCGTAGGCTTTGTTGTGAAGGGAGAAGATCATACGCTCGGCTCGGGTTCCGAGCGGAACGATGAGTTTTCATAAAAAAAGCGCATGTTTATCGCAACGGCGACGCTTTCTCGTCTGGTTGTGCCGAAACGGCCATCTTTCGTTCGTCGTAAGAATGCCGGCGGAAGTATGCATCGTCAAGACAGTATCGGCTTCCGGTGCCGTATCAGGTTGCTTATTGACATTTTACGAAAGGGTTGGGTGACAATGTGTCGCGTAAACGCCTCTGTTCAAAAAGAAAAAAAAAAAAAACGTATGCTCAAGCAATTTTGCGAAGCGTCGTTGGCCACGTCATTTCATATTTCTTCCTTTTATTTTGTTGTTTCAGGATCTGCGGTCACAACAGAAGCAAGGGGAAAGCGGCCAGTATTACGGCAAGGAGCATTGTAAGTGTGGCTATCTTGCAGCTTCCTGTGGTTTCCGCGTCGCTTCCTTTGTGGCTTAGTTAGGTCGCTGGTCTCCATTTACGTTTTTAAGTTTCCCCGTAGTTTGTTCATATAAGATGTAGAATGGTTGTTTACATTGGCGTTTTTTTTAAATCGCTGCTTTTACTTGCTAATAAATTATTTGGAAATAGGTAAGGCTATTTTGGCAACAAGGTACCACTGAAAGCTACAAACTGAACGGCCTATAGTAAAAAGGTAAAAAACGCGATTTTATTTAGTATTGATTGGTATTTCTCTCTAACGTCCGCGAGCACGGAAGGTTTAGGTCATTGAGGGGTTAAAAAGAAGGAGTCATATCGCTGCTCGATGAAACATTGCACTTGTTACGACTGAGATGAGACGTCCCGGTATTTGAAGAATTGTAGACAGAGGAGGATTTGCACGAACGACACTGAACATATTCTTTGGGCACCGAAGTTCTGAAGTCCACGACTGTGAGAAATGTTTCCCGTACAAAGACCTTAGAGTTTGTCTTCTCAACAAGTTTGTAGAATCCGCAGGTGCCGATCGCCGATGTTGGCGCACCACCTCCCATTGCTGCCTCCGGGAGAGAGAGTGGCAGTATAGAAAATAAATTATAATACAACAAAAGTTTCGCTGTAAAGATAGACTCGTCATGAGTCTAGTTCTTATTAAACAGTTGGTGACAGGGGCAGGACATAAGTCAATTCTCTCGGTCATTTCGAACCCGAAAAGGTTCTAGAAGAAAAGACGAGACAATCCCAATCTCGCTAGAGCATTCTAAAAAGGCTGCATAAACAAAAATATTATCTAGGGTACGTTAGCGTATCTTTGGTAGCATAGTAAGGCCCCCGCAGAAAGTAAAAAGTCCAGGTCACGTTTTCTTCTTTTTTAAGATTAAAAAGCAGGGGAAGACGACAATCATGTTTGACCCCGCGACCGGAGGATCCTCGTTTTCTTGTCCGCACTCTCCCACTATGCGGGTGGAGTCCATACGTTTCCTTTTATCCGCTTGAAGGCTTTCTAACTGCAAGACGCCTTTTTATTATTATTTTTAACGGCGCTTCAGTGGCTTTGCATTTCGTTTTTTGCTATTAAAAAAGCTGAATGAACGAGCGTTTTGTTATTAAAAATTTAGAATCTACGGCACACGACTGCCCAGGTAGTACAAACCGGGCCGGCACGAAAACTTTATATTTGGTTCGTTATTTTAAGACTCCCTGTATTTTAATAAAAGTGTAATAGTAAATAACCATTGCTAGCTTGCGTTGCTTTTGAAAGTAGCTAAGAAAGTAGCTAAATCTTGAAGGCCTGTCCCAGATGTGATGTTTGTCGGACGACGATTCACCGTAGTGCTAACAGAAGGCCCAGAGAGTGACACAGTTATCGCGAGAAAGCGGTAGCCGTCTCATATATTTTTTCTTTTTCACAACTGAAGCGTTGTCATGGTCTCAAAACTACTAATTTGGCGGAATCGTATTGATTTCGGGAATTGACTGAAAAAGGTATTTTTTTCTGTTCAGTACCGTGTCTGAGCAAAACGCTGAAAGGCACCGATTTTGTGTTCGCTTTAGCTTGCCTCGAACTCGCCTTGTACGGTCTAGTCCAAAAAAAGTCACTCAGGGTGACAAGTTCTAACTGCATTACCTTTCTGTTCTTCGCAAACCCACGTGTGCAGTAAACAGTATGAAAACTACAAAAACTAATATCCAGAACCGTAATTTTCTATTTGACGGCCACCCTTCGGTTGCGACGCAGGTTTTAGTTGAGCTCACTTGACCTCACGCCTTGATGATTGTTCGCGGCGAAAAATGGCGGCAGCCTTACTACTCGAAAATCCATCATCTGCTTTAAACACACACACACACACACACACACACACATACACAAAAAAAAAGACAATATGGAGGTTAATGCTACAAAAGTACAAAAAAAAAAAAAAAAAAAGCTCGACGGAAGCAAGAACGATATAACTTACGGATCGCGGGCGAAATATTAAGGAGTCGCTGAAGGAGCGACAAAATTTGTTGGAAAAGTTCGAGAGGTGGTGGCGATGATTGGAACCGGTGCCAACTTTAGCTTCCAATCTTCGCGTATATTTTTTTTTTGTGCACAATTTGGCAACTCGAAGAAGGATTTAGAAAAAAGAAAACGAAACACAAACGCCATTAATTGTTTTGATTTATTTTTTTTTTATATGAGGCTTGGGTGTGGAGTTTTCGACTTTTCTGCTCTCACGTGGTTTTTCGGTGGCATGATTTTATTGGCACGTTAGATCACCTGATAGCGCGAAAGGTATATACAAAATATTGTCGTATACGGAGTATTTTTAGGCATTGTTTAGTGATATCTGCCTACTATGGAGGCTACCTTGTTATTGACGGACTGTTGAAACTGATTTGGCCCGCCAGACACATTTACCTTTAGAAACCTAAGAAGGATAGCCGCACTCGCCAGTGTTTTTTTATTTATTTAAATACCAGAAGGAGCTTCTGGGGGTTACAAAAAAAAAGCTACAATGCAGCAAAAAATTAAGATGCATGTATTAAAAAACCATAAAGAGGATAAGTACACAAACACAAAGACACACTCGATTAGACCTTAAACGCGATAGCATGTAATAGTTTTTTCAAAAATCCGGTGTGTCGTGTGTATCTACGATCTTCTCGGGAAGACAGTTTCAATTAAATACGGTATGTGAAAAAAAAAAAAGAAAAAAAAAACGTTTTTGAAAAGTGACGGTTTTTAGCTTCGGACGTATTACATCGAGGTTGTGTTCCGAAAGATGATAATGGAGTTCTGGATATCAAAGTACGGTGATTTGAGGCACGGGTTATAGAAAGAAAATATTGAAAAATTATAACCTATCAAGTTTGCGACGCTTAGAGAGCAGGGGTAGGTTGGCGCGTGTTCGGAAAGATGTGACGCTTGTAAAATAAGGATAAACTGATTCAATAAAACGTAACACCCGATGCTGAACTGATTTAATGTTATTGATGAGGTGGGCTTGAGTGGGTCCCAGACCCCAGATGCGTATTCAAGCTTTGAATTGATGAGGGATGAGTAAGCAAGCTGTTTAAAATGAAGAGGTGAAATTTTCAAGTTACGATTAGAAGCACCTAAAGGGTGATTAGCAGAGGACATGGTATGACCGATTATGAGGGGTCGAAGATAGATAACATAAAAAGTGAACTCCGAGATACTTATAAGAGTTTAAGAATACTTTTTTTTTTTTCCAGCGGAACAGTGTTAAGAAAAAGAGAAAAAAAGAAGGTTTAAAGCCACGAGTAAAGGACACAATCTTGCATTTTTGGACAATGAGGGACGTTTACCATAGTTTACTCGACACTTCGATGCAGATGAGGTAATCTTGGATGAGTAGGTGATCTCATGGGTTAGTCCCTTAGCGGTAAATGGCACAGACGTCAGCAAAAAAGCTGAACATGAGACGTTATTGATAAAGGTTGATAAATACATTTTAATAATGTAAATTAATAATTGAAGGGCTTAATAAATCTACCGGCTTAATGAAAAAAAAAACGGCTTAATTAATTTAAAATTTTCACAGACTGACATCGTCGTAGCAATAAATGTACAGAGCAAGCGTACAAAGGCATCTCAAACACGTTATACCCGCTTACTCCCATTTATACCTACAAAAAGACGATAATATTAAATACGAGCCGGGCGTAATGTGTCCACGTGGGGAACCATCGTAGGCATAAACGTTTAGGTCTTCGATATTAACAGATGTCGTGTTTGCATTAGCAACGCTGTGCAGTGTTCATATCGCCCATGATAATCATTTGTTAGATCGGAGCGGAGAGTTTTGGTGACTGGTAGGGTTTCCCTGATTGAAGTTGTTGACTTGCAAACAGCAACATGCAAATGGCGTTGCTCCAGAGCGACAAAATGAAAAAGATTGAGGCTGAGTTTCCCACTGAAAAGGGCTGTATGAAAACGAGCTACTAGTTTTCTCGTGCCCTCCAACTTCGCAGTTAAAAGAGTACCACAAAATCACGTTCCGAAACTTTGACGCCACAGACACTGCTTCTCATTTAGCTGGGAAGGAAAGGGGGGGGGGGTTTAAAAAAAAAAAACCTAAAACAAAGCAAGAAATATTTATAGAAGTTGTAGGGTTTAACAAACGTAGTATCATTTCTATAATGCTGCGTTGTGTTTGTGTGTATATATCTGTTTCTGGATGTGAGAAAGCATTCCCAAATGCAGAAACACACTAACAGACACGCATACGCACCAAATAGTTATAAACCACGTTACGTCAGAACGAATATTACGAGGATTCGTTACATTATTCGAGAGAAGTTTGTAGAGACCATTCTAAACATAATAAAATATAACAACACACTAATGTAGTATTCACTGAAAATTAAAGTCCGCAGATTAACATTTCGTGAACGAGTATAATAACCCTTTCATCACTATTCAAACGCAAGTTTCGTTTAATTGCTTATCTAAGCTTTGTGTAGAGAGTTCGCAGTTGCAGAACGAACGGATTGTTCTATGATGTGTGTAACCCGGACACATCCGATGACGGCATTTATTTGATGGATATTGCACCAAATGGCAGCTTACGAGTCATCGTTTCACTGATGGTGAATTGCACTCGTACATCCGAAACGCCTTCCGAATTCCGCGAGGGAAACAAAATTCCGCTCCGTGGGACCCGCTGCGAATCGATGAGTGGAAGATGAAATCGCCTTTTTGGAGCGACCCCGCTCCCCCCTTGACCGTTCAAAATGGCCGCTCCTCGAGCTTGAGGAGCCCACCAACGCCTCAGCCGACTGATCTTTCCGACGACCAGTTCTTAGCTGCAGAACAGGCCGGGCGAAATTATACGTACCACGGAGTCCATGTCACAAATAACGGAGAAGACGTCTGCGTTCGGCACCGTCACATACCTTTCGGCCGCCTCGAAGCGGCGGGACACGCACAGCGATTGCCATGGATGGAGTTTC